CTGTTTTTTTAAAATGTAAGAACAGACTTATTTTTTAAATACATCTCCATAAATAAGCCCCCTTGTGTGCCAAGGCTCACTCATAGAAACATTATCAACTTGAGCAATTAGGGCATAGTGACAGTATCTGTGTAAAACCCACCTCCTGGCACTTTTTACTTACCTCTTCAACACTCTTCCATCAATCCTACTGAAACAGCTGTCAGAAGAATAGACTCAACACTAAATCATGGAAGGGGTCAAAGGCTCCCCATATCCAGAAGAATTGGGTATGTTGCACCACCAGTCACAAAAGGAAGAAGAAGTGGCAGAGGCGCACTGAAGAGGTAAGCATAAAGTGGCTGGGGTGGGCCTTACAAAGATTCTGTCACTGTTCTCAGAATGGACAAGGTGACAATGGCATTTTAAATTAAACCACTGAACAGGAGTGCATTCTTGTGGGATTTGGGATCCTCAGCTTTCCCAGGACCCTGGAGAAGACCGAATGACGTTACCCTAGGTAAGCACACCAGAAGCTAGGATGTAAGATAAAGCATATTGTGCTTTTTTTTTTTCAAATGCATTTATAAGTTTTTATGGGGGGCTGGGAAGTTAGGGAATTAATAAATCATCCATTTTAAAGCAAGGTCTTTTACCATAATTAATGTAGCAAAATCACATTATTTCTCTTTTCTTGCCATGAATAAAAACAGTTGGTCATCCAAAGACATGACAGCCTCGGCTGCCTACACCACTTATCCTTTGGCTGCCAACAGCATTGTGGGTGTTCCTTTTTTATTATTTAAGCGAAAAGTTTGGCATCATCTTGAATAAAATGTAGCTATTTATTACAATCTCTTTAAAAATTTGAAATGAATACTGGGACTCTCTGAGATTAGCACCCTTACCCCCCTATGGGATAATGGCAAACTGCCGGAGGTACGCAAACTGCAGGGATTTGTCTCATGGAGGAGGGAGGGAATACACCTGCTATCCCAGATATATGATGCTGGCACTCTATGCTCCTTTCAGCAGCTTCAATCTAGATTCAACTTAGAGAAGACCCAAATTTTTCAGTATCTCCAGTTACGACACGCCCTATCTGCACACCCTGGGACTGGTCCTATACCTATATCCAAGGTTCCACTCATAGACCACATTGCTATATCTACAATTACCAAAGGCGTGGTCTCTCTGCTGTACTCCCACATACTCTCACACTTTTCGAGCAAATACCCCCTTCGATGTAGAGAGGCCTGGGAGAAAGATCTGGGGGCCCTTACGGAGGAGGAATGGGAGAGTGCCATGGCCTCCGTTGGTGCATCGTCTCCGTCCACCTCACACAGACTGACTCAGCTTTTCATCCTGCATAGAACATATCGTACCCCTGAGTTCCTCTATAGAATCGGAGTAAGAACAGATTCTAAATGCCCCAAGTGTGGCATTGAGCCTGGTTCCCTTATACACCTCCTATGGCGTTGCCCCAAATTAGTGAGATACTGGACTAAAGTGGTCCGCTATATTAACTCTACCTTCATGATCCAGCTCCCCTGCGCTCCATTAGCATGCCTCTTAGGTGTATTTGACACCTCCACTTGGGAAGTCCACATGGAGGTGGCTGTATCTAAGGCTCTATTTGCAGCAAGGAGGATCATTGCCCTCCAGTGGATGTCCCCAGCTGCACCGACGGCGAGGGCCTGGATGGTAGAGTTGGATCGCCTCATAACATTGGAAAAAATCACATATCAACACAGGGCTAAGGTCACAAAACTCTACAGTATTTGGGACAGGTGGCTGAACAGGCAGGCGTCACAAGATAATGCCCATTAGTTGCATCAGTTTGGGTGTGGGGTGCAGGGACGGAAGGGAGGAAGCATGGTGGAGGAGGCGGTGGAGACGTGGAGGAGGAGGAGGCGGGCGTATTAGATTGGAAACTACAACCGGGATGGAGGTCCTGAACAAATGCAACGAGGTAGGCCGGAATAGTTTAGGAAGTAAGCAATAAGAGGACATGCATGCACAAATCACATGGAAAAGGTAGATGGGATATGATGTTATGTTAATGGCCCGGAAGCGGCGGAATATCTGGATGGCGGTGGTGGGAGCGGAGGAGAGTCATGTCTCCCCATCTCCCAAACCGGGCAACCATTCGAATCCATATTTTTATGTCTTTTTATTTCTGAGTGTTTTATATACCAGTGCTGGATATGCGCTACATCCCTTTATGTGACCCCCTCTCCCTCCCACCCCTGAAACATGTGTATGTACTCCTAACCCGGTCGCATGGCTAATGTTATTTGTTCTAATGTTACCGCTCTGTATGTTGCAGAGCAGCATGTATACTGTCTTATGGTTATGTATGTGTAAGAAAATCAATAAAAATTATCTGATTTAAAATTTAAATGAAAAGAAATTCTGTCATCTGATGACAAAGTTTGGCAAAAAGACAATAACCTAGAAATATTACTGAAAATGCTAAAGGATTGAATGGAATTACAGTCATTTTATCTCACTGTAAAATAGTATTTTTATTAAAAATGCTTCAGGATTGAATGAAATTACAGTCATTTTATCTCACTGTAAAATTGTATTTTTAAAGGGTCTTTAATGAAGAGTTAATTTTTTATGAAAGATTGTGTTTACATTTTCATGTACATAGTCACTAGTGAGCCAGCATCAGAGCACATCCTACATATATGTAATTGGGAAGTTCTTTCGTTTTATTTTACATGCCTATATTTATATTTTTCTCCACGGCTCTATTCCAGCCAAGCTGTCCTGCAAAAATCACAGTAAGAGATTGGGACAAACTATAACACTGCCAGTGGTACTTACAATGGTCAATGGTCATGGTATACATTAAGCTTGCTCTTTAACATATATATTAAAATAAAGAAATAAAAAGAATACAGTTCTTACATAATTATCCAGACTGTCTTTTTAAAACAAAATAAAATTGAAATATATTCATCTCCTGCCCTCTAGTGGGAAACAAGAATCCATCCAGAATAATTTTGTGTTTTTTTTCTCATTTCATGCATTAAAAGCTTAGTTCACCTTTTGCAAAAATGTAGTAAATGCAGCAACATTAACACATATATACACATTGTGCATTTAGTAAATTTTCGCAATTAAGCCTGCAGAGCATTGCACTTGCGATCAGCGCATCAAGGGTGCAATGCTTAGACGCTTGCAAACTTTCTCCCTAGTTCCCAGTTGGTGTGATGTCACCGTGCTAGCCATGTCCAAAAACCCTAGCCTTGCTGCTAGACTGAACCCAGCTTATGAATTCCATTAAATATCTGTGTTAAATCTTTCCAAACTAGAGCTGAAGGGTCCTTTGAAGGTTTCAACAACGCTGTTTGAAGTCGTAAACTATACTTTACACACTGCTGCTATATAAGCTGAAGCCAGGAAAGTAAAAACTTAGGCAGTAACAGTTGTGTGAATAACAATACATTTTAGGGTGCAAACTTTCGAAACCATCTTCTTCAAGGTTTGACATATTAAAAACAGGTCTCTGTGTGGCCCCAAAACACTGTTGGTTCAGTAAATCAAAGCTTTTGATTTATGTTAACTGGTCTGCTGGCCTTTTCAATTCTGTATTAGAAGCACACTTTTGTTGTATGTCCTAAGGAATATTGCATTAAAGTTAAGCAGTCTCCCCTGAAACACCACACTTGCCCAGTACACAATTGTTTATATTGCACATTGTTTTCTGCACATTGTGAATTAGCACTGTGTTTACTTAGTGCTAACTTGGTCAACATGGTAAATATAGGGGGCCACAAGTGTTGGACTTGAAATGTCCAGATGGTCGCAGATGCAATATTGAAATGACCACAGAAAAAAAAAGAAAACAAGATATATTAATCTATTAATGTAACCATAAAAAAAGCAAGCGAGCTTTGCGTTGATAAAAATGAACATTAAAGTGTCATTAAAGTCACCCCCCAATGCTTGAGGCCGCACACCCGCAGCTCCTGCAAGTGATCGGGCATCTCTAGAGACGCCTGATCGCTTGTATGTAAACAGCCATTGCTGGGGGAGAGGGGCAGGACGTCTTGACGCCCTCCCGCTCCTAGCAGACTCCCGTCCGGCCGTTCACAAACGGCCATGGACGGAAGGTGGTTAAAGACTTACCTTAAATGATGCCACTTGATCCGATCATCTTCTTCTTTCCAGTAGTTTTCAGGAGTCCCACCAGCGCTGGTGCCGGTCTCTGATCCAGAGCTGACTGCTGTGTCTTCTGTGTCCCACGTTGTCTGTCCTAATGCATGCTGCCGGGCTGCCTGCATTGACTTACACTGTACTCTACTGCGCATGTGCCCGCTCCATGATCCTTCACGACCGCTTGATAATCTTCAGATCTTCAGATGGGAGCGAGCAGCGGAGACACAGGTACGTTTTTACCTATTTTGTAACTTTTTTTTCCAATGTTTTTGCATATATCTACTGCTTGCTATCAACACCTGGTTGTGACTAACAGATTATGTGGATTGGAACAACAGTCACCATATTTATTCCCAGAGAATCTTTGTACAAGTCATTCTGAATTGAGAAAGCGGGTTGGATGACCAGTGAAATGTCTTCAAGAAAAATACAGCAAGTCCAGTTGCCTTGACTTATTTTTTACAGATATATCATGACCTGAATGAATGAGAACCTTCACAGACATACTCCTCTGCACTGGTTCTCCCGCTCACCTCATTGCTAGACAGAGAGGCTCTTGTGACAGTGCAAGTGCAGTTCTATGGGAGGAAGATAAGCACTTGTTTCAGCTCTTAGCTTGGTGCCCAACATGTTAGGTTGGCAGCCTGAGTGTTGGGCACCAGGCTGACCACCTTTTGACTCTGTGGTGTATTTCCAGAACAATATAACATTTTGGAAATATACTGAATGGATGAGATGCACAAAAGATTTTGCACAAATCTACATGGTCTTATATGAACCAGAACAATACTTCACAGGTTATTATAACTTGTAACACAATAAATATATAAACAAAGCATGATGACTACCTGTAAAAACTGCTGGTTCTCCTTTTAATGTGGAACTGAATACCAACAGAGACTTATCGGATAATCCACATGCAAGTTTCATTCCATCGCCTAGGCAAGACAAAAATAATTTTACATGAGTAATCGTGGCTCACTCTAACACTGGAGTCTGCTGATAAAAATGTACATCGCTATAGTTGTTTCCAAGTCATTTTACACATTTATCCTCTGCATATTTTTCATGGTATATTGTACTTTTCATTTCAGTACCAATAAGAATGTCAGCTCCAATTTTCCTTTTTCACCAATTTCAGCAGTTACATTCCAAACGTGTAATCAGAATGTACAATTATGGCTGAAAGGATAGGATTACATTGTACAGAGCATTTTGGGACAAGGGACTGGTATGTTTGCAGGCCATGTGGGTATACTTTTACAGCATGCCTATGTAGAAACACACAGGATGGGGCAACTGGAACATAATGATACATTCAGATTTCATCTAGTAACGACAATGTGAACATCGTGTAGTGTTACACTTTTACTATCCTCAGATAAACTCTGCATTTGCAGACAATTTTTAAGCTGGAATCACACTGTTAGTAAGTCTAAATTGAGGAAACTGGCAGTTTATGAACTAGTGGTTGCATATTAAAATATCTGTGGTGTACAAAATTTAAAATAACGTGAAAGACAAGGATTTCAGGCAAATACAAAAAGGCACAATCACAAAGTGTAAGTAAGGGCAGGCAATAGAATGAGAGGAAAATGCAAACATACAAAGGATTTGGCTAAAAAAAACTGCCTACGGTGGCTTGAAATTGTAGAACAAAAAAAAAAAATATAAACATTTAAATATGGGTTTGCAGCCACAATTTATATTTATAAAGCTGCAGCGTGATATTTTGCTAATGCAATTTAGGTTCTGAGGTGTTTTTCTTTTTTTTGCTAGATAATTGGCCACAATGATAAAACAGGAAATATACTTCACTTCTGTTTAGACTTAGGAAAGATTGTTTTTACTGATTATAACATAAGGCCAAGAAAAAGTCAAAGTTATCTCACAGATCAAAGAATTTTGATTAAAATAGTGCCTAATGTATGTAATTACATCCAATAGTACATTATTTACACCATTCAAGAATAATGGGATATCTTCTGACTGACAGCCAGCACAGATAGAAGGCTCTATGAAAGGATGAGCTCACTACAGGACTCCCCCCTTACCCCTTCTTTACATCACTAATCTTTATTTAAAAAAAAAATTGCTCTTGTTCATGAGCCCCAATTCAAACCTGAGAATTTATCATGCATTTCCTGAAGTGCAACAATTGTCAAGATGAAGAAAATCATTGTTTTTAATGATGCCCTTTGTGTCACCTGACACACCTGACTGGAGCTCAAAAAAGTCTATGAGCTTTGTTTTCGGCAGAATCACGTGTTTTGCACCTAACAACTAAACAAATATGGCTACCGTACAAATTAATATGTAACTAGCTTTCAAGTAAGGTGCACATGGTGGGGCTTTCCACAGTAAAAAACAAAAATTTTCTTCACACTTACAAGCCAGCCTGCAAAAAAAAAAAAAAAAAAGCTTACCCTGTCTCACAGCATGCGCTAAAAAACAAAGGTTTTAGTTGCACAACTTTTGCAAAATATGTGGAAGTCACACTGGCGTGTCAAACCTCCTCTGTGTAGTGTAGTCCTAACTCTAATCTATAAAAGCATCTATCTTGGAGCATATAGAGCAATGGACAAAATGAGTGTAGGTATGCCTGGAGGTAGCCCATCCTTCCTTAAAGGCACAGGGACACACCAGAAGTCCAGCACATCACAATGGCAGCTGAAGCCCCCAGTGTGTCCACACATGAAATCCAACAAAACAAATATGGCAACTGCACAAGTTGGGGACACACTGGGGGGCTTCAGCTGCTATTCAGCTGTGAATAAGTGAGGCTAACAAAATATGAAGAATGTTTTAAGGGTTTATTAACACATTAAGTCAACTGACTTAGGGCAAGGTCTTAGTTACTTCTAGTACAAAGAAATGTTCAGAACACTAGGGATCATTTATTCAAATGATAAAAGCAAGTAAATATAGCAATCCTAAAATAACAAGGAAATGAAAAGCATGTGTTTTTCTTCCTAGTCTCATCCAGCTGGCATGACACAGATGACTGTGTACAGTACCAAACTATTTTTGGTAGAGCCAGTGATTGCTCATCATGTCCACGTCATGCCATTATATACTGCATGAATATTGTAATGTATTAAGGGTTTGTTAACCTAGCTCAATGTCACTATTCATTTTCAAAGAGAGGTTCTGAAACTATTCAAGTTACAAAGGAGGCCATATGTTTCATACATCATATGGCCTTAAAAAAATAAAAAAATCTATATTTACACAGATGTGAGGTGAACCTCACTGTAATATTCTTTACTGTACATGCAAGTTCCAGTAAGCACTATTTCAGAGTAAAAAATAAGTGCCTAACGCTAACAAGTACTATTGATATTAAAACCCCAACTCCATTAAAATGTTTTTTTGGTAAAAATACCTGTTCTACTGATACACCTTTTGTAAAGAGAAGGAAGCACAGCAGCAGAACCACCACCACAGCCCTGGAAACACAGCACCACAGCCACCACTGCAGCCCTCCCCTTCACTGGCTCTCCCATTCCCCTCACTGCTAGATAGAGAGGCTTGTGTGACAGTACAAGCACAGTTCCATGGGAAGAAGATAAACACGTGTTTCTATATTAACACAGATGTGAGGTGAACCTTTCTGTAATATTCTGCACTGTACATGCAAGACCCAATAAGCACTGTTTCAGAGCAAAAACGATGTGTATAACACCAACAAGTATTATTGATATTAAAATCCCAACTCCATTAAATGTTTTTTTAATAAAAAAATACCTGTCCTACAACCCCCCCACACTTTTTAGCAAGGCATTACTCGCCTTCGCCACATGCCAGCACACTCTGCATCCTCCTCTGGCCCCAGCCCCTCTTCTTGGTTGAATGATGCCCAGCTTCATTCAACTCACTTCGTGGTCATATTGTTTGTGAACTTTACAAAATTAGTAACAGCAGCATAGTATTAGAATGAGCAGCATGGCATTGGTTCACAGTGGCTGTTACCAAATACAGATTATCTGATCTTCTTAAAATTTTGTGCACGTTTTACTGTGCCACATCTAATACTTTTTGGTACTTACCCGAGTACTGAATACAACCGACAGATGTTGGTCTGTTTGATAAAGTTATCTGTCTCTGTAGATTGCTGGGTGCCGCGGAATCCACTGGGTATTCTTTTTTAAATTCACTGCAACAATATAAGCAAGATGAATATTTAAGGTAATCAAACTTATCGTGCTTAAATAAATACTTTGCACCAAACCTCTACTACAAGCAAGATGTATTTTAAGTAAAACAATCATAAGAGAAATACAGGGCTGCCATTCCCGACTGAAAATGCTAATCGCTATTATGATGACCTAGTGCATGTAATACTTTCTGCATTCCTTTCCTGGCAAAAAATCTCTAGTTAGACTTACTGGTAACAGTGGTTCTAAGCATCTTCCAGGACAGCAACCTGAGAGATGACTGGTTCTTCAGTCCACAGGAAACACAATCAGACAAGTTTAAAAACCCCTTCCACCCCCCTCGACCCACACTTGAGATTAAAGTAGAATACCTCCACCAGTGCACGAAGGGAAAAAACTAGACAACATATTGTATATCCAGTAAGGGTGGGAAGTAGGTTTGCTGTCCTGGAAGATTCTTAGAAACACCGATACCGGTAAGTCTAACAGGAGATTTCTCCAATCATCTTCCAGGAGAGCAACCTGAAAGGATAAGCAAGATAAAACACAAGCCTAGCTTAGGGTGGGACAACTTCTTGCAGGACTTTCCTGTCGAAGGCCAAATCTTGTTGCGATAAGACTTCCACCATGTAATGCTTCACAAAGGTGTCCTGATTCGACCAAACAGCATCCCTGAAGATCTGATTCACTGATGCGCTGGCTTTTTCTGCTTTTTAGAACAGCCTTTGTTTTCTAAGATCCTCTTTCAAAATCTATGCCTTTAATTAAAAAACAAACTGGGGTTGTGATTCAATACTGGGCCCTGAAACATTAGATCTGGTCTGAGGGGTAGAATCCATAGAGGCTGAATTTATTTTCTTTGGAGTTCCGAAAACCACATTGTTTTGGGCCACCATGGGGCAATCAAAATGAGTTTGCAAATCGATAGACTTCTGAATTACTCTGGGAAAAAGAAAAAGAGGAGAAAAGGCATAGCCTAGGGAGAAGTCCCAATCTTGAGACAGGGCATCCATCCCGCTGAAACCCTTTTCTCGTCAACCTTGGGGAAATAGGTGCTCAAATCAAATAATCTGGTACCATATTGGAGGTCCCTTTTATGTGGACTGCGGAGATGGAGAGAAAATGCTCCTCCTCCTACAGAAGAAACTGAATAGTTACTACCCCTTACTCATTCACAAGGGGGGAGCGTCCCCTTTATGAATGGGGGTGCCCAGATACAAATAAGCCCCCCGGCCCACAGACCCCCACAACCACAGGCCAGGGTTGTAGGGAAGAAGCCCTTGTCCTCATCGGCATGGGGAGAAGGTGCTTTTCCACTCTCCCCATGACGAGGGCATGTTGCCTGGTAAGGCGCAGGGATGGGGGGGAGGGGGCGCTCGCCTGCCCTGCCCCAGATTAAGAGTCTGTTTTGGAATTTTGGGGGGGGGCACTTTTTTTTTCTTCTTTTGGCGTTGGAGTCCCCCTTAAAACTCCTGCCATACCAAGACGGTCTGGTATGACTTTTGAGGGGAACCCCATGCTTTTTTTTTTTTTTACATTAGAGGTCCCTCCTAACATTCCTAGATTCCCCGATCTAGAGGGTCTAGTATCAATTGCGGGGGAACCTCTTGCTTTTTTTTTTCCTGTTCTGCGGGCTGTAAAAAGAATGTAATTTTCTTTTCTTTTGTCAAATGTCACTTTGCTGCAACGAACATTCATTCGTACATACTACCGATAACGAAAATTTGGATTTTTTTTTTAAGTTGATGCTTAACACAATAAAACTTCATTCGGGAAAGAAATTCGGATGTATCCAAAATTTTCGTTATCAAGGATTCGGACGAATTCGTTATATCTGTCATTGGGAAATTCAGATGCATCCAAATGTACGAATTCAACCGAATTACAATTTGGAACAAATGGAATCACCAATGTCTATATGGTATGCCTGTAAATTCGGTCATGCACATCTGACTTATAGTGATATAGCCCTCCCGGTAACTTAGAAACTTTCACACAGCTATGAACAAAGTACATGTATATGGTAACTGAAGGCTTGGCCACCACTCATTTGAAAGTATGGAACTTATTTCTGTGAACCTCTTTGGCAGTGCCGCCACAAAAAATATAAATCCACTCTGTGCACACCAAATGCCTTTGAAAATCCAGATACTATCTTCTAAAAGTATTGACATCATCGCTGTGCTGTACACAGCCTGTGAAGAGAGCAGATCTGTGGAAGGAACCCAACAAATCCATCCATTACAGACTACAGGAGGGGCAGATACTATCCCATTCACTATGCACAAGGAGAGAGCAGCAGTTACAGGAAACTCCTGCACAGAGGCGCACTGGGTTACTGCACATATTTGTAAGACATACACATAGAATGCCAAAATTTAAGTAAGAATACACATGTCTCTTGTATTTAGACATTTGCTTGTCCCGGAGTTCATTTAAGGAACATACACTTTATCTCCAGGAAGTTTTAATTCTTTAAATGCAGAATAAAATCAGTTCAGCCCTTGGATTTCTTTTTAGCTTTATTGCAAATGAAACTTTAATAATAATAAAAAAATGAAGTAGAACACCAAGAGAAGCATTAGGACCTTAGTTTCTCTCAGCTAACAGTCCCTGGATGCTCGGATATGTCTCTGTTGATTCTCGCTTACCACAGGCTGAAACAGCACCAACAAATCAGAGGTTTCTTTGTTTTCTCTACACCAGGTATGTGGCTATAGCAATAGACCACTGGAGGATCAAGAGTTCAGCCAGTGTCCCCACTTCATCCCATTGCCTCCGGGTAGCGTGGGTTAGGCATCAGTTGCTTCTCATGGGCCAGTAATGAGAGCCAAGCCCTCATTACCCCTTCCATAGATTCAAGGCCCTTTTGGAAAGTTCTTCAAAATATTGAACATATGATCCAACCCACTGGACATATCCCCCTTAGTGATCGGGCAGCTGCTAAATATGTAAGATAAACCCATGTCATACTTCTAACACAGCCTTCTAACAAATATTGGCAGGTCATATAATAGGAGAAAGCCCCAGAGCACAACAATCTAGAAGAATCCTGTATAGCAACCATGCATAATGAAACATTAAGAAAGACACTGAGGTTCTGCTTCATTACAGTTATATTTACTGATGAATGATATCTCCAGATTCCTTCAGCAGTAATCATTACCTTGTGACTTCCTTCCTTACTGCTGAAAACTGAATTTTTTTAAAGTTGGTTTTTGGTGAAAACATTTTCATCCTGAAATGATAAAAAGAAAAACACCTTACAATGTTAGTATTTTACCTTGAACTCTAAATATTAGTAAATAGAAGTGTACATTAGAAATATAATGCTGAAGTACAGGCTCCATGACTAAAAAATCAAATCATGAAAAACATCAGATGAATGCATATTTTAAGGTAGATATGTCTGTGAGTCATACACAGGGTAATAGGTTGGTGCTGCTTAAACTGTTAGTTACATAGTTAATAAGGTTGAAAATAATCTTCATGTCTATCAATATTGCAGATCTAGGCTACCTGACTGTCTGGGTTTCTTACACTTCCTCGTCCAGTTGAGCTTTAGCATGGCTGGAGTGCAGTATGTCTGACACTGTTCGTTCCTCTTTGGCACCCTTTTATGGCCATCCTGTAAACATCATCATTCAGCAACTACTAGCAAACTCCCGGCAACTTCCTGTCTCAAAGTGATGATCCAACACCAGTTCACTATTTAACCATCAATTGGTCCATTCAGTCTCCGCCCTTGTGTGTGTTCAGATCTACCAAGTGCTCTGCTGTTGTTCCTGTTCTCTGTGTATGGCCATGGCTCTGGCTCACTGATCTCCTGGTTCCTGATTCTGGCTATTGTTTCCGTTCATTTTGTTCTCAGTGCTCTCTGACCTGGTTCGCCTGACTACCCACTTTGGCGTCTGACCTCTGACTTGGAATGGACGACATCCAGGGCTTCCTCCATTGTTTTTTGCCATTTATGTTTATTATTTTCAATAAACTCTTTTTATTTTTTAATCTGCAGTTAAGTTTGTCTGCTTGGATCCCTAACACTGACTCAACCTAGGCATGTTTAATGTCTACTGTCTTGACTTCAAACCCCAGTACTAGACTGTTAATTATCCTTTGATAATAAAAAAAACAGGAGCTATTCATTAAAATTTACTACCAAATGAAGGCACAATTTGTTCTTAAAAAAAAAAGAAGTATAATTTCCCCCTGGATACACATGTAAACACATGTACAGATTAACACTACATTATTGTAAATGCACTGCATGCCATTTAAATGATGTACGCATTTTTCATGTTGCCCACAAAGTAACATGGAAAGACTCTCTTCCTACCGTATAGTATTTCTTAAAAACAGTGTTTACATTGGTAAATGTCCCCCAAGGTAGTGTCCATCTTCCTATGCCTTTTTTTGGACAATAGTTTGCCTCATAGTCCTAAAAATGGCCAGTATTTAGTAAAAGGCTTCATCCCCTTATAGACCAATTAGATTTTATGCTAAATTTGGGTTCGCGAATTTAAAAACCTTGGCAAATCAAACTCGGCCAGATTCGCTAAGCCCTAATTGCAATTCCCCACTGATGATTTCCAGCATGAGATTGTTTTATATTGTATATAGTTATAGATGGAGTGGTATCCTTGAAGTGTTTTTTTTTTAAAACTATAACTACTCTGTCTGCTAGAAAACTGAATAATTAGACCAATGAAAACCCATTATAGTAACTTACATAGCTCATAAACCGCAATGCAGCTTAAAGTAAGGATACCATATGTGTGTGAATCAATATGAGTGTTCCTGCCCATGAGTGCTGCTGTCAACCTAAATTTAAACAATGTTTAGTACCACATAGTTTCTCTACTACAGAGTATGAGTCAGATTCCTCCAAGATTCTTTTGATAAATTACTGTCTCGGTTCAGGCCATGGTCCCAGGCAATATTACAGTAAAAGTTTAGTCTACAAATTATATAAACATTTTTTTTCTTTTTTTTATATCCTGTATAAGATGAATTAGTAAGGCTAAGTTTATGCAGCAATAATGATGGATTGAGGGAACTGATGGAAAACAATATCTGTACAACATAGACTACCAAATTAATGATGCTTGCTGAAAGTGTTGGTTGTTACAGGTTACAGTTACAGGTTTCTCTATCATCTGAAACATGCAACTGTCATAAAATTGTCAACATACTAATAAATAATGATATAACTCTTCCAATGGCTCTTGTCCGTTATTTCTTAATTATATAAGGTGCGATGGCATTATACAGGCAATTCAGGAAAGCTGAACACATAGTCTGGTAACAAGGAGGAAAAGAGAGCTGACAATATGCATTAAGGACAATTTTAAAGTGATTCAAGAGGTACACCAGTAAGTGGCATAAAGAGAAAGGGAAATTGAAGAAATTTGAGCATATTAGTCAGGGAGTTGCAAATGCTTGACTGGGATAACCACCCTGCCTGGATTTATTTAACCTCTGTGTTTATAAATACATTTTTCTTATTCAAAATAAAAATTAAATACTAGCAAAAGGAACAAAGAAATAGTAGAAAAAGTAGAATCCATACCCCACTTAGCGCTATATGCACCGATCAGCCATATCATTATGACCACCCACCTAATATTGAATAGGTCCCACTTTTGCTACCAAAAGTAACAGCCCTTACCTGTCAAGGCACAGACTCCACTAGACCTCTGAAGGTATGTTGTGTTATCTGACACCAAGCCATCAGTAGCAGATCATTTAGGTCCTGTAATTTGCAAGGTGGGGCCTCCAGGGATCAGACTTGTTTTTCCAGCACATCCCACAGATGCTCAAATTAATTGTGATCTGGAGAATTTGGAGGCCAAGTCAACGCCTCAAACTCGTTGTTGTGTTCCTCAAAACAATTTTGAAAATATTTTGCAGTGTGGTAGGGAGCTATCAGGGAATAATGTTTCCATGAAGGGGTGTACTTGGACAGCAACAATGTTTAGGGTGGTGGTACAAGTCAAAGAAACATCCACATGAATGGCAAGACCCAAGGTTTCTCAGCAGAACATTGTCCAAAGCATCACACTACTTCCGCTGGCCTCCCTTCTTCCCACAGTGCATCCTGGTGCCATCTCTTCCCCAAGTAAGCGACACACTTGCACCCAGCCATCCACATGATGTAAAAGAAAATGTGATTCATTAGACCAGGCCACATTCATCCACTGCTCCGTGGTCCAGTTCTGATGTTCACATGCCCATTGTAGGTGCTTTTGGAAGTGGGCTGGGATCAGCATAGGCACCCTGACTGGTCAGCGGCTATGCAGCCCCATATGCAACAAACTGCAATGCTCCGGTTGTTCAGACACCTTTCTATCAGAATCAGATTCTTTTTTTTAAATCAATTTGAGCTACAGTATCTCTTCTATTGGATCAGACTATACGGGGCCAGCCTCTGCTCCCCACATGCATCAATGAACCTTGGCTGCCCATGAACCTGGTTAACCAGTTTTCCTTCCTTGGACCACTTTTGGTAGGTCTTCACCACTGCAGACTGGGATTCTTGCAGGTTTGGGTTTCACCCTCACAGTTTGGGGTCTATAGGGGTTTAAACCAGAGGGACCTGTGTCCTGTGACATGTTCCGAGAAAATTATTTTACAGGTAAGACTAAAAACCATGTTTTCTTAATAATATATTACATCACACATTATGGTAATCTGAGGCCAATGGGATATCCAAAAGCAGTTCAACTGAGAGGCAGACAATACAGCAAACAAACTTCTAACAGGTCTGAGAAAAGAACAATAATGAATAAACAGAAAAAAGCCCAACATTCTAAGGACTGGCTAAAGAACTATACGACCTCAACTGGCATCCACTAAAATAGAGTATACACGGTTAGAATTTAGAAAAATCGAAATAGATTTTGGAACATTTGTTCAACTTTTTAATAATTGATGGGGTCAAATTGATGATTAATTTGACCACAATGATGAAAAAATTCCAAGGAGCATGTTGGAAAATTTTCCTCCATCGAACGAAATTTTAACAGTGAATGTGATTTTTGCTTGAAAAATTCCATTTATTGCAAAATCAAATGTTAAATGCAAACAAAAGTCAAATGAAATTTCAAATGACAACTGCCAAATCTCTGATGGTATTATCAAATGTTCTGAAGGGATTGTTCGTTTGAAAAGCTACCTGTGTATACCCTACTTAAGGCCTGGATGTCCACCTGATAAAACTTAACAAACGTGTGAAGCCAGGACCGGGTGGCAGCCTTGCAGATCTGAAAAGCCGAGGCCTGATGCTGAAAAGCCCAAGAAGCACTAACGCTTCTAGTAGAGTATGCCTTGACCGGAAAAGGAGGAACCTTACATAGAGTCTAACGAAACTAACGAAAGGAGGTTGTAGGAGGTTGTAGCTGAGAAGTAAACTCAAACAGCATATACCATATACAAATAAATACATCTTAGGATGCTTAGGTACAGGACACAAAGATGGCAATACAATGTTGTGGTTAAGGTGGAAAGATGAAACCACCTTGAGGGGGAAAAGAGGCTTTTGGTTCAAAACAACCTTGTGTTTGTGGAGCACAAAAAAAGGTTTTTTTACAGGTCAAGGCTGCCAACTCAGAAACATGAAATATGTAAAATCCGCGCTTATGGATTATGGATTAGAATATATATATATATA